AAGTATATGACAAGCGTTCAAAATCAATAACAATAAGATTTACTTACATAAATATTGTTATATTACAAAAATGTAAATAATAGTTATATATAATGACATAATGTATATAAATAATTTAAGTAATTACAGTCTTTAAAATGTCGTTAAGGCCTGATATTATTCTGGACTTAAGAGGACGCCACACCCGCATGTGTCTCCGTGAACAAAATGTAGAATATACCGATGCAAATATGTTTTTATTTTCACTTGTTCCTTTGCGATTAACTTTTGGTATGACTGATGACACAAATGATATTTTATGAACAAATTTAACACCATCTTTCACACGTTACTGTAGACCCATCAAATTTTTGTATAAAAAAGAAACAAAATATAATACTTGGAAAGAAGTCGAGGCAATTGAAAATGAAATAAAAGCATTAGTCCCAATTGAAATTGTTTTAAATAATATTTCTGTTCCTGTTCACTGTAAATTAGTTATGACAATGGTAGATGGAAAAGTTATAAATAATTTAACTGATACGTCAAGTCAAAGATGTTTTATTTGTAACTGTGGACCCAAAAATATGAACGATTTAAAAAATATACAAAAATTTAAAATTAATGAAGATAATTTGAAATACGGGCTTTCTACATTGCATGCGTGGATCAATTTTTTGAAATGCATTTTAAATATTTCATATAAATTAAATATTCGCGAATCAACCAGTCGCATGTCTAAAGAAGAGAAAGGGAAAGTTTTACAACAAAAAAAAAATATTCAACAAACATTTTGGAATGATATGGGGATAAAAGTTGATAAAATAGTACAAGGTCAAGGTACATCTAATACTGGCAATGTGGCAAGGAGATTTTTTAAAAATGCAGAAATGTCGGCAAAAATAACAGGTGTTGATTTAAATTTGATTAAAAAATTAGATGATATATTAATTGCAATATCTAGTGGATATGAAATTAATTTTGAGTCATTCGATGAATATTGTAAAGAAACAGCCGAATTATACATTGAGTTGTATAATTGGTATCGCATGCCTCCCAGTATGCATAAAATTTTGTTACATGGTTCTATTGTTATAAAAAATGCACTTGTACCAATAGGATTATTATCTGAAGAAGCGCAAGAAGCATGTAATAAAAATTATAAACATTTTAGGGAAAATCATACGCGCAAAATATCAAGAATAAGTACCAACTACCAATACTGATTTAATGCATGCTCTATTAATAAGTTCTGACCCAGTGATATCTTCTAAGCGAAAAATTTTCAAAACACCATTTACAGAATTACCATCCTCAGTAAAACAATTAATAATTATAGATAATGATGAAGATTCAGACATATGTTCTGATTCAGAATAACATTTTTTATTAAATAAATATTGTATCTATTTACCTATCGTGTTTTCACACAACTAATAGAACTCAGCTATTTTATTAATTTTCTTTGGTAAATATAAACCTATAAATTATAACATATTTAAAACTATAATTAAATAAATATAATTTGATTTTATTATGAAATATATTTTTGTCGCGGTAAAACCTCAATTCCTCCCACTGTGCGACGTCAAAAAATGTTTGTTGTACTATATCAATTTCTTCAGAAGTTGATGGAAAATTAATAAATTTGGGTCTCAGTAAAGCTATTTCATGGGAAACAAGTCGTATAATTTGACTGGCAGTAGACTTAAGAACTCCTACAAAGTCACCGCACATAGCTAGGAATGATCCGGTAGCATAATACCTTTGAAACCTTAAAACCTTTGAATAATATCGAATATCTAAAATCGGTTTTCGATAAATCTTTATTTTACGCAATTTTGTAAAAATTTAAATTTCAGACGTTCATAAAAATTTTTTCTTAAATTACGCTTGAGTTTTTTTTACAATTACTTGAAGAAAAACTTATTAAAAACCTTGTGTTGAAATTTTAATCCTTAGGTATAAATAGAAAAATTTTTATGAATTTTTAACTAACAAATTACATGCATATTTTCACGATTTTGTCATATTTCGTAATAATTTGAACTTTAAGCGCCTATAAAAAAAAATTGTGACTTACGATTTTTGATTTTGTATTTCTGATAAGAACAACTTATAAGTAACATTGTATTAAATTTTCAACATTTTTTGGGTGGCCAATTTTTTTAAATGGATATTTCAAAAAAAAATACTTAGAAAAATTGAAAATTTAAATTGTCTAGAAATAGCTCAAAAAAAGTCAAAATACTTTGAAAATTTAACCATGTGTAGACAACGCTAATATAAACATTTGGTGAAAACTGTGGTGAAAACACACATGAGTGTTTACAGTTTTTTTTTTTTTTTGAGTTACAGTAAAACGAAATTATCGATTTTGTCGAAAACTGGTTTTGCGTAAAAATTCCCGTTTTTCCGTTATTCTTTTAGGGCCGGTTTCACCATGTAGGAGTTAAAGCACAGATTAATTAACTCCGAGTTACCCGGTAACCCAGAGTCACCATATTCTCGGTTTCACCACGGGTTTATGTGTGAGAGTTAGTTAACCTCAAGTTAGCTTACGATTGGCCATTAAATTGGCCTGTTCTGGTGGCCTGTTAATGATAACATTTATTTTTCACTGATAACATTGATAATAAAGGTCCTTTCACACACATCCGATCCGAATCCGATCCGGGTCCGTTCCGATTTTTAATGTTCCGAGTGTTGTATTCACATACGATTCGATCCGATCCGATTCGTTGTTTCACATCAGTTATATAATTTCAGTAGCAATCAGTACTCACTCTGAAACCGTGGAGAACAGATGTGATTGAGTTTTAAAACTTCAAGTTTCTGTTAGCACAAGTCTGTAAAGACAAGTAAAATGAGTAAATTTAGCGAAGAAGAATTAATTATGATTGCATTAATTCTTGACGAAGAGGAAGAAATAAATTCGAAAAAAAGAAAAAGGAAACGTACTTTATGGGTACATGATTTATGGAAAAAAAGAGAACAAGAAGGTGAATTTTTAAATTTATACAATGGACTCGTGGATGATGAACAAAAATTTTATGAATATTTCCGAATGACTCAGTACTCATTTCATATTCTACTTGGAAAAATAGAAACCAACATAAAAAAGCAGGAAACTCATTGGAGAAAACCTATTTCTCCTAGAGAAAGATTAGCTGTCTGCTTAAGGTAAGTGACTTACAAAATTTAATTTTACTTAACAAATTATTTATTGTTAGCTAAGTATAGAAAACTAAAATATGTATGATGTATATCTATTGTGTTATAACCCATAAATTAATCAGAGAAAAACAATTTTTTAACTTAAAAAAAGTTTTATAAACTTAAAATTAAAGGTATTACGTGAACAAATTATTAAAGAAAAAAAAATATTAATTTTCATATTGATTCTATCGTGTTATAAATCATAAAATTAATCAGAGAAAAACAATTTTTTAACTTAAAAAAAAACTTATAAACTTAAAATTATGATTCTAGTTTGAAGTTGATGTGAATGTATGTAATGGCATTTCACCTTGCATTTGGGGAGATAGCGAATTCGAATGTCCTGTGTATGGTGAGTCCACTGAAAATGATGTAGATTGCTTGTTGTACAAGTTATGTGTACTTAAGCATGGATTTCCTGCGCTTGACGAAGTTGGTGCATTGTTGTAAATAGTATCTGCAGTTTGCTTATATAAGACTTGGTTCAATTCAATTTCTTGTACAATGTTAAAAATTCTAGATTTTGCTAAATTTAAGTTATAGGGGTCTAATGTTTTTAATGTGGTACCAATGCCTGAAAGAAATGCATCTACTGGATGAACAAGATTTTCTGTTTTAGCTTCCATTTCTTTTTTTTCTAACAAGTATTTCATTATGGTTGATGATGCTGTTTCTGTTTCACCATATTTTTCTTGGTGGTTTTTAGTTCTTTTAGGTCTTTTCCAAATCGGTTCATGCTTTTCTTTATTCATTTGTATGTCTTCAATGTTCACTTGAGTACCTTGTATAGTTTCTTCGCCTTCAGAACTTGAACTAATATTACACGATACATTAGTTATAGTGTCTCTTTCTTGCAAAAACTCTTTCAAAAAATTTAATTGGTCTTCATATTTATATTTTTTAATAATTTTTGTTGCTTGACCTGAAGTTGTTTTATTCCGTTTTAATGCTTTTCTATACATGTCTCTTAAATTATTCCAACGGTTTTTGCATGTTGCCACTAAAATTAAAAAAAATCAGAACATTTGTAATCGTGTTTAAAGAAGCAAGTGAAATACAATTTTTATTTAAACTTCAAATGTCTATAAAAAAAATTGTACTAATATATTTTTAAAACTTTTAAGTTCAGTAATAAATACTAATGAGAATTTTAAATTCTGAGCGGAGCGATGAATGTATTGATTTTACAATGGTCAAAATATACCATCTATACCTGGTATAATATACCTATTATATAATAATAAATAGTGTTTGAAAATTTCATGAAATTTAAAAAAATTAAATATTTCAAAATGTGTGAAATATTTCAGTATTTTAAGAGGACGATATACCCGCATGCGTTGTCTTCGTCTTACAAGCGTACAACATAGCAAAAAACTGTTTTGCGCGGGACAAAACCACTCCCTTGGTATTTATAGTAGAATTACTGAAATTCCGCAATACATAGGAAACACATTTTTCTGTGTCGTAGCGTTTTTATTTTTTTTATAGCATGAATAAAATTAAAGTTATTAATTTAAGAATAATAGAATTTTTTTGGTTTTTTTCATTTAATTATTAAAAATTACTGGAGAATGCTATCAAATTTGTTTCCTATGTATTGCGGAATTTTGGTAATTTTACTATAAATACCAAGGTAGTGGTTCTGTTCCGCGCAAAACAGTTTTTCGCTATAATGTACGCTTGTAAGACGAAGACAACGCATGCGGGTATAGCGTCCTCTTAATAAATTTTGTTTTATTTTTGAATAAATTTTATATTTACATATAATTGTCATAAATTACCTTCATAACTATATGGTACCTGTATGTATACCTAACCTTTGGTATTATACATTTAAAATGGTACTCACATTTTTTAAATATTCTGACTGAATTCTGACATTAGAATTTAGAACACTGAATATTGTGTTAAAAAAATAAATAAATTGTGTTTTTATTTATGTTAAAAAAAATTTCAATGTTTCACGTTTATGTGAAATATTTCATACATCAAACTTGGGATGGCGGTATTTAAAATTCTGATACCGGTATCCGGTATTTGTTTACTAATGGTATCTACGTTATTATACTATTATACATATTACACTATCTCTACTGTTTTTAATATTATATTATATATATTTATTATTTTTTAAAAAACAGATACTTAGCAACCGGAGATTCAATGAAAACTATTTCGTTCAGCTATCGTTTATGCCTAGTTTACACGCTGCGTAGTACTTGTCATTAGTACTTGTCACTCGAACTATTACTTGTCACTGGCACTAATCATCTATCGGTCACACGCATTCACTGATTTGTGCATAGTATTAGTTAATAGTAAGTGATAACATAAAGATAACATAAAGATGTTTATTATTGTAGTGACTACTGAATATTAAATACGTAATTAATATATTAATATATTAAATACGTAATTAATATAGTCACCAGACACCAAGTACTGAATGAAATGGACCGTCGAAGTGTTATAAAACAAAGTTTTAAATATTATTCAAACATAATATCAGCTTTAATAGATGAACTGGAAACCGAAATAAGTAAAAAACAAAAACGAATATGGACGAGGAAATGGCTCCTTCGAAGAGATACACATGGTAGTTCGGTTGGATTAATAAGAGAACTTGCAATTGAAGATAAATCAGAGTATAAAAGTTTTATGAGGATGACACCAGATCAGTTCGAATTTTTGTTTCAAAAAATATCTGCTAAAATTCAACGTGAAGATACGATTATGAGACCTGCGATACCTGCAAAAATAAAATTGGAGCTTACCTTATCATTTTTAGCTACCGGTAATAGTTATCGTAGTTTATCTCACCTTTTTCGGGTTTCAAAAGCAGCAATTAGTATTTTCATTCCTGAAGTTATGGACGCTGTGTTTGAGGCTTTAAAGGATTACATAAAAGTAAGTTGATAGTATTAAATAAAAATATTGGTATTTAGTGTAATATATATATTTACTTATTTATAAATATACTTTTGTATAATAAATCAATAAAATGTTAACTTCATAATTTTAACAAAAACAAATATTTTATACTTTATAAAAAAAATAGTAAAAATAGTACACACTTTTAATTAACTCATACATTATGTATAAAAATAAAACAAAAAATAAAATTAATTCAACTTCATTAATAAAATAACTTTTAACTTTTAAACATAAATAAAACAAATAATGTATCACAATAGACACAATATCTAACAGTGTAAGGAACTTTTGACTAGTTCATGTATAATAATAAAAATAGTAATAGAAAATTTCTTCTTGAAAATAATATTATTTTAAGTAATTATGATAAAAAAATTTTAACTTTTTCAAGAATAACATAATACAATATATAAAATAATAATAATAAATAAAAATAATATAATTATATAAAGTCTTCATTAGTAAAAGTAGCATAAATTGCATTAGATAAAATATTATCATTTGTATCAATGGGTGAATTTACACTTGAATCCACCTCTGATGACACATATGACAACCTATCAATAGAATCTGTTGTAATAGAACATGATCTATAATTTTGTACAGCCATGTCACTTAATATGCTTTGAATTCTTGATAGTGCAATCAAAGCGTTTTCATAATTTAAAGCTTTTAACTGAGCTGCAACACTCTTTCCGAAAATATCGAATTGGTTTTCAGGTTGAGGTACTTCTGGTTTATTTATATTTTCTTGCAATTGTTTTAGCTCATTTATAGCACGAAAAATTCCTTTTTTATTTGATTCTTTTCGGTTTTTTGGGGTGGTATCTGTATTAGCTTTTAATATTGGTGTTGAATGTGAAAATGAGGTGTCAATCTCTTCAGACTCTTGAAGTGATATTTCTTCAGTGTCTTGGGTGTTTGGTGGTATAGTGTTGTGATATTCAGTGGCTACAGTTGCATTTTCAAAACTTGGAAAATTGGTTATGATCTGAAATTAAAAATATACCTACTACATTTTTTTTTCGATTTTATTTTAATTATATTATTAATATGCCTACTAGGTATAAAGTAGGCATGCCTTTAATTAATGTTTGTTGTCTTTTGAAAATAAAAAAATTTTCTAATAGTCTATTTAGGTACAATAAATTTGAATTTGATAAATGAAATGTTTCAGATACCTGCTAGTCACGAAGAATGGAATGTTATTGAAAGGGGTTTCCATTCTAGATGGAATTTTCCAGGGGTATATGGTGCTATAGATGGAAAACATGTGATGATACGTGCACCGCCTGATTGTGGCAGTGATTTTTTTAATTACAAAGGATCAAACAGTATTATTTTATTGGCAGTTGTAGATGATGACTATTGTTTTACTTATATAAATATTGGAGCTAACGGAAGATGTTCAGATGGCGGTGTTTTACAAAACAGTTCTCTTTCACATGAACTTGAAAATGGTATGTTACCAACCGGTGGATTTTTTGTTGCAGATGCAGCATTTCCACTAAAACATTATTTATTAAAACCTTACCAACACACACCTCTAACACACGACCAAAAAATTTTTAACTACAGGCTATCAAGGGCCCGGAGAATAGTGGAAAATGCATTTGGCATACTTGTAAGCAGATTTAGGATTTTTGAAAAACCTATAGCAACAGATGTATCAGTAACAGATAAAATTATACACACAGCATGCGCTTTGCATAACTGGCTAAGAAAGACTTCAAACACTTACTTGACCAGAGAAAATGTAGACTTCGAAAATGTAGATACCGGGGAAATCATACCAGGATCATGGAGACAAGAAACCCTAGCGTTACTGCCAAGTATTAACCGAATAGGTAGTAACCATTCATCTAGACAAGCTAGAGAATTAAGGGAAATGTATACAAAATACTTTACAAATGAAGGTGCTGTCTCGTGGCAATCAAGAATGATTAATTAAATCACCTCTTTACATACTATAATATAATAATTTAACAAAATATTGTATACATTACATATTATTAGTTTTATTATTAATTTTATAAGTTTTATATTAATTTTATTAACATGCAATTAATTTTTTTTTATTAAATTTATCTTTATATTTATTATGCATAAATTGAAGAATGTTAGAATTCAATAGAATAGTGAATTAAAAATATTTTTAACTACAACTTTTTTCAAGAGCAATTTTTAATTGTATAGTGCAATACTGCAATACAATTCAATAGTTTTTTTATTACTATAATTAGTTTATATCAACATAAAAAAATTTAAATAATAATGTATATAATGTACTCACATTGTCAAAAGTGTTCCTTCTTTCATCTGCATCCTTTAAGAGTGCTTTCATTTCAACAAACCATTTTATGTTTGGTACATAAACATTGTCTGTACTGCTTCCAGATGCTTTCGATTTATCTTTTTTTTTCTTTTCTTGGTAGTAGATAGATTTTAAATTTCGCATTTTAGATTTTACATCAGCTACTTTAAAACCGGGTATAGCCATTCCGTCCACAATTTTTTGAAAACATGCTTCCCGCATGTGTTTATTTTTGTAAGATACATGTTTAGGATTCCAGAGGCATTCATATTGCTTAAACTCTTGAAGAAATTTGATAGTTGTTTCTGCATTCCACTTTTCTGACATTTTAAATTCTACGTTAAAAACTTAATAAACTAACAAAAATTGGACGGTACGTGATAAAACCAATATTCTCTTATCACTTCAACTAAGCACTAATACTATCATCATGCGATCACACGTTGCGAGTGCAACCGCGAGTAGAGTAGAGTCGTGGAGGGGGTAGCTACTTGTCATTAGTAAATAGAACTGGGTTCTATTCACTCGCACTCTCGGTTTTACTAATACTAAGCACTATTTTTAATGTTTACACACAAGGTGCGAGTGCGAGTGACAAGTACTAATGACAAGTACTACGCAGCGTGTAAACTAGGCATTAGGTCTTTCTACTGTATACCAAATCATCATAGAAGTATGTTATGCAATTATCGAAATTGTTATGCCAGAAGTTATGCCTGTTCCAACTGAACAAAAGTGGAAAGAAATCGCATCAGAGTTTTGGACTTGCTGGAACTTCCCCAATTGTTTAGGTGCTATCGATGGCAAACATGTTACAATCCATGATAAATTAAATAGGTATGTCAGCAATTTACCGGTTTTTAGACTAATCGCGCACCCACCCTCCTCCCAGCCTTGTACTGTGACGTAAGCATTTCTCCGTTTCCCATTGGTCCGTCGCCGCCGCCGCCGCCGCCGCCGCCGCCTACACCGATCAGCCACAGCCGCTACGGCCTACGAATTACGATTCTGCGATCGTGCTCCCATGGCCCATCTCATCTGCTCAGGATGACCCGTGATAAATTATAATAATTGTTTTATTACAATAATAATATTATAATTATTATTTTTTTTTTTTTATTAGCTTTCAGTTTAACTATTACAGCTCAACAATTATTAATTATTTTATTACAATAATGTTATTATAATTATTTTATTATTTTATTTATCATGGTATGACCAATATTCTTATATAAACTTGCATCATAATATATTCATATACGATTTACATGATAATATAGTACTTATTACTTAGTAGTATCATATTATATTTAATATTGTATTTGAAATCTTTAATGACAACTCGGGCATTTTACCCACACCACCAACACAGTACATGATTTTACCGGTAGACAACCAAAACGTCTGAGTAAAAATTCTGTAGTTAAAAAGTTAACGGTAAAAAGTTCGGACTTTTTTACCACGATATGATTTTACAATATGACCAACAACAATTTCAACTTTAAACGCTCATTATAAAATATTAATATGACTATTTTATTTTTAAAACGTGTTAATTACTGAGCGGAGCGATAAATGTATTGATTTTACAATGATGTTATTTTTTTAAATTTTTTTTGTCGTCTGCACATTTTGGGGCACCAAAAATGCTTCAGTTTCCTATTTTTATCAATTTTTCTAGTAGAAAAGTGAATTTCAGTTGGTGCTTGGGGATCGATATAACTAGTAAAACTGTCATTCACTCATTCCCTTAAAAATCTCGAGGTATAACGAATAATTATATGTATTTTGGTCCTCTCGATAAAACGAAGTTTTTTTAGTTAAAGCTTTCGCGATGTAATAAACTTTAACAATTTTGGTGCTTGTAAGCACAAGTTACACAATAATATCATTATATTACGAATTAATCATTTTTATTAATATAAGATGCACGTTTGCTGATGTATAATGACTACGAAAAATATAAAATTAAAATAAATAGCTTATTATTATTACTAAGGTTTCCGCTGATTATCATGTAAGATAAAATTCATGTAGGTATCTAAGGTAATGACGTAGTAGAACATAGGCGCAATTAGGGGGGGACTTGGTTATGCTGAGCATTAAGTATCAGGGTGTGTGCTGCTGATACAATTTTAGACCTCCCTCACAGAAAAATGTCTCTAGGTGTGCCTATATCAAGAAGAATCTTCCGAAGAGCCTTCCGTAACATTAACGGAATCAAATCAGATCTCTGTGTGTTTCCTTATATTTTAAATATGTAAAACATTAGTGACCGGTTTAGATCGTCATCAAGTGGCACATCGGAAAAGAAACTGATTAAAAAGAAAAAGAAAATATGTATTCGTAAATAAGTAATAAACAATAAACATTCATGTGTTCCTATGTAAATATTATTAATTGAAAATGAGCATCTATATTAATGTATGACAATCATTATAACTGTATGTCATTCGATTTAAATTTCGTTGATTTATTATCTGGTTTATAATCTTGACATCTCGACAGTTATAAACAGAGTATAAGACATTACATATAATTCAATATCATTAAATAATAAATTATAATGTAAATGATTTACATTGTAATTTAATAAATATCAAATGGGCAAGATGGAATTATACTTATTATATTATCATTAAGTATTTAATTTTTAAGAATGATATTTAAGTATCTAAAAAGTATAATGTCTTTTATTATGCTTAAGATTAAGTTAATTAAATGTAATTAATTTAATCATCACTATAATATACTCAGATACAAAAGTAGTTCCAGATAGGGGTTTTTAATAAATTAATATTTATATAACACCATTTGATGTAAAGAATAGCTCACAGATATACGTTAGTTACCTATAGCAAACTTAAGTGACATAAATTTGTTTAAATTCATTAAAAAATACTCTGTGCCTATAAGTATTTGAAAGTTAGCAATAATGCCGAAGTGCGTTTTTGAAAATTGTGATAGTGGTAGTAGGAAGAAAGGAAAAAATCAGATGAACCTTGCAGTACATCTGCATAGGTTCCCAAAAGATATAAATTTGTGTCTTAAGTGGTTGCAACAAATTGAATACGGTCAATCTATTAATGCAAAATCTGTAAATCTTAAAACTGGTAACATCATCTATTCATATGAAATAGACATTAACATTATTCACGTTTACATGTATTGTTATTTTCACTTACATTTACTTATTAAAATTCATCTAGCCGTTGTTTGTTCATTGCATTTTGCTCCATACCATATTGCCGATAAGCCAATGATACAGAAATTATTGAAATATTCACCTCAACGTATGCGAAAACTTAGAGATGATGCAATTCCTTTGAGGTAAATAATATTCAGGTTTTATTTTTTTAGATTTATTTTATACCAATGTTTTGTTTAATAGTATTTATGGTACAGACTATTATGATATACCTTTCATAAGACCAGTGAACCCTTCTACACCAGTAAACAAAATTTATCCACCTAAAATAGTTACACCTGCTGGAGTATTTGATGTGTAAGTTTCCTATAAATATTTTGTTTATTGAAATATTCTAATAATTTTTATGTGCATTTAAATATCAATTAAATTCAACAGTAATATAATATTTGTATAATGCTTAGAGAAACTAATAATAAACATCAAAATGTTTCAAAAACATTGGATTTTGTCAACGCTGAACTAGGGGTTCAACCGTTAGTTGATGATTCAGATAATGATTTGATTCAGAAGTAATTTAGAAACTTGATGCTTTTGTTAATTCTTCAATGAAATAATCATGTTTATTTTTATTTAGACTGATGGAATCCGTAGATTTGTATAAAAACAAAAATTACCAACTTAAAGAAGAGAATAATAAATTAAAAAATAATATATTAGCACTACATAAAGAAAATGAAAGTCTAAAAAATATTGTTAGTAAAATAGAATATAATTTTGAATTACGTTTTAATTCTTTACTGTCAAATATTTTCACACCAACTCAAATTGATATGCTATTACATCCTAAACTGAAAGCATATAAATGGACTTCTGATGATATTTCATCAGCTATAACATTAAGATCAGTATCTCCAAAAGCTTACAGATATTTGAGGAACAAGAAATGTTTTCCTCTACCAGGTAGGACCAACATTAATTTTATGATATGCCACTAACAATAAAATTTTATTTTTATTTTTATAACCTATATATTTAGGTATGTCCACATTAAGGACATGGGCTTCTACATTCACAATTCAACCTGGTATTTTAACTAATGTATTACAACTTATGAAAGCCAAAGGTATAATAAAAAGTGTAATGAAGATGTAACAGTTTTAGACTTTTAAATAATATCAACTCTAATTTTTTTTTGTTCATATATAAGGTGATTTCTTTACTGTGGAGGAAAAATTAACAGTAATTTCTTTTGATGAGACATATATTTCACACAGAATTTGTTACGACAAAAAATTTGAAAAAGTATATGGGCCACATAGATGTGTTCAAACCGTTATAGCTAGAGGTAAGCAAATTAATTAATCATGTTACATTTATATTAAATTTACTTGAATAAAATGAATTAACCTAAAGGTTTATTGAACAATTGGAAACAACCGATATTCTATAACTATGATACTGCTATGACAAAAGAATTACTTAATAACATAATAGTAGCACTACACGAACATGGTTTTAATGTGATCGCCATCGTGAGTGATATGGGTTCTTCAAATGTTGGATTGTGGAGAAATTTGGATATTTCTATAACAAATACGTCTTTTAAACATCCAATAACTAGTAAAAATGTATATGTGTTTGCTGATGTGCCCCATATCATAAAACTTGCAAGAAATCATTTTCTCGATCAGTAAGTTGTCCATTACTATCTAAAATCACACACAAAGTTACTTATCAATTATATTATAATATCACCTCTGTACTCACCTAGAGGGTTTAATTTATCTAATGGAAAATACATTGGTAAGAACGTATTGCAACAATTAATCAAATTAAATGAAGGAAATGATTTCAAGCTAGCACACAAGATTTCTAACCGTCACATTTCTGTAGAGGGTACAGTTCGGATGAATGTACGGTTAGCTGTAAATTTATTTTCAAATACAGTCGCCAAAGCCATATTATTCTGTGGGAACAACAAATATATGATAAATTACAACTGGAAAGAAGTAAAGTTAATAAACTATTAAGATATAATAAATAAATAAACTGGCATATATTGTCTCCGTCTTACTAACATAATATAACATAGCAAAAACTGTTTTGTGCAAGACAACACATGCGGGTCCTCTTAATTATTAGAATATTAATACTGACCAATTAAAACTGTGTAGGCTTCAGACACCATAAGTCTATTTAATGATTGGTTCGACTTGATGAATACAAATCAGATGTTTGATAAAAATACTGCAAGCTATGGACTTGACCTCACAAAACAAACAGAGCTATTGAACAAAATGAATCAATTTGCATTAAACATGAGAGTTCATGGAAAAAAGTCAATGCTGCCATTCCAAAAAGGTAAAGGAATATTTTATAACAACATATACTCACATATTATATTAAAATAATAAACATGAATTAGGTATTGTGATTTCCAATACATCCCTTGTCAATTTATTTGAAGACCTAAAAGAATATGGTGTTTCTTACATTACTACTAGAAAACTAAATCAAGATGTAGTAGAAAATTTTTTTAGTTATATTAAAGGAATGGCAGGATCAGCAAATAATTGCATAACAGCATTAGATTTTATGTATTGGTTTGTATTATACTGAGACAATTCTTTAAGTTGAATTCAATAATTAATGCATAATAACTTTTATACCTATAATTTAGTCTTAGGTGGTATATTTTAGGTAAACACTCCAATGTTGTGTTTACCGAAAATAGAAACACCGAAGATGGAACAGACGACAGTTT